AAAATAGTAACTTAGTTACATTACTAGTTACTTCTCTCAAAAGTAACTCAGTTAGTTCAAGTTACTCGTTACTTTCAAAGTAACTAGTTACTAGGGAAAGTAACTTTGGTTTTACTCAGAATTCTCTTGTTAATGTGTTGCTTCCATAACTTTGCCAGTCTTCTAGCTTGCTTACTTGCCACAAGTGCACTGTGCCACCTACCAATAGCAAGGAAAAGATAAGGTGCATATTTCCACGAGAGAAATCCCACGCCTGGACCGTCATTGACTGCTGCCATGATTCTAGCCTACGTCACAGCGTCATGTGCGCCTTTTACATCCAACACAAAAACTGCAGTCGTGGTGCTTTCGATTGTACTCAGAACTCTGAAATTCTGCCTTCTGAATAGGAAGATGTAGGTAACACCAGACTGCAGATGAGCTGCATACAGGGCTGGACTGGGACAGAAAATTGGCCCGGGCATTTTGACTAGAGACTGGCCCACCATTATAGGAAAAATCATAAAGCCTTTGAATGAAACAGTGATGTACACTGTTCTGATGGTATATATGCATCAATCTATCAATCGTTTGTTGTAAGATTCAGATAATTATTTTTTTAAAAACTAGACATTTTAAATGAGAATAAGAAAGAAAAGTATTTCTTTGTGCCCACCTCTCCCTGTTAATGCCCTACATGCCCCCCTGGTAAGACTTTGCTAGACCCGCCCCTGCACAGTTACCAGCTGTCAGCTACCTAAAAAAGGATCCTGGTGTTATTTGTCTCTCAGAAACAGCTCATAACTTCCCTTCAACTCATTCATGTCACCTAAAAGGTAAACCTGTTTCTTCATCACAGCTCTGACGATCCAGTAAGGACATCTCCTGGTTTCATCTTCATGTTTCCCTCTCACCAGATAACCAAACCATATCATGACCAGCAGCTTTTTTGCAGCTGTGGCTCCAGAAAACATCAGCTGATACTAGAAATTAATATTAAATAAATTCTAACAACAGCTGATCAAGCTTAAACGTGCTGCTGTTGTTTAGCGCGACATCCCCTGGTTTCCTCTTTCGGCGCAAAGTGAGCGATAAACAAACAAGAGAGCCGATCAGCTGATCATTGATCAGTTTTCATGATTGAAGTAGAAACAGGAGAGGGAGGGAGAGAATGAAAGAAGAAGAGGCAGCTGTGCAGCAAAGACAGAATAACTCCAGCTTTGTGTCTTTTTCATTGTAGCTGAATTACGGGACAAACTGTTCCTTTTCACCTCAATAATAAGAAACGCGTAATATTTTCTCTGAATACCAGACAGGACGGTTGGCAACTCTAATAACTTATGAACAAAATAAAGTTCAGCATCAGTAACATAGCACCACCCAGCTGTATAGAAACTCCGTCATGCTAGCACACAGTATGGAAAAAGTCAGAATAACAAAAATAAACTCCACCTAAACTTGGTTTATATCTGACCCAGAGAGACTGCAGGTCATAACTTCTTACCTGAAGTTCAGTTCACACTTGGACCGGCGGCCGCCTCGGGTCTCTTTTCCTTCTGCGTCCCCTTTCCTTCATCCACCTGCTGGCCTCCACCACTTGCTAATGTTACTGAATCTGTGGAGGCTCCGCGATAGCCACCACACAAAGTAACGAGTAACGAGCCTATCTAAATCCCAGTAACGACTAACGCGTTCCTGATTTTGGCATAATAACTAGTTACCGTGCTCGTTACCACAATAATAACGTAGTTACTGTAACGCATTACTTAACGCGTTAGTCCCAACACTGGTAATTAGTAATTAATTATTAATTAGTTATAACTTGTGAGCATGACAGATTGTCTGACTCTCTATGTCTGCCCTGTGACAGACTCACTAGCTGTCCAGGGTGTACCCCAGCTTTTGCCCTATGACAGCTGAGATAGGCTCCAGCCCCACAATGATCCTGAATTGGATCACTATATTTAACCTAACATTGTCACGAATCGCTGTGTGGCAGGCAGGAGATGAGGACTCAAAAGGCAGGACTCCGACACAAGGGATGAACTCAAAACCACAGCTTTAATTGCTGGCACAGGAAAAACGAGTATACAAAGCAAACTAACCTAAACTGGAAAAATAACAAACTAACCATACAGGGAGATCCACACAGCAAGAGGGACAACACAACACTGACTCATAGAAACACAGGGTTTAAATACACTGGGAAGTAACGAGGGGAATGGGACACAGAAGGAGGGCACAGCTGGGAGAAATCAGAACTGACGAGACAAGGAAGCAAAGCAGGACACATTCACATAAGACACGGACCTTCAAAGTAAAACAGGAAGTATAACACAGAGACGCGAACTTGACACGGTGGAGACAGCAACTAAGAAACACAGAGACATAAACCATAAAGCTGAAGACTCTAAGAACCAAAATACACAGAGGGAAATACTAAGCATGGAACACAAGGGAGTAACAAAAGACCAACCATGAGAATTCACAATACAGAGTGACAGAAAACAAGAAACTCAAACATGCAAAGACACAGATGTACACAGAACATAGGGGGCACAGAGAAACACGAAGGGCAAGGGATCAAAACTAGAAACCATAGAATAAATCACACGAGTACAAAATACAAGAATCACAAAGAACTAAAAACGCTGGGTCAGGAGACCCAGGATCCTGACAAACATGATCTTTACACTACAGTTACACAGTCTCTCTGATCTATCCAGCATCCATCTGGTCTTAGTCTGCAAATGCTAATTTCAAAATAAAATGTGTTTTTGTCAAACTAAGCTAATAACGAAAACCCTGTTGTTCATGTTTTAAGTATGGCAGACAGACACATTATTGTGCACTGCAAACAGAAATGTAAAATAACAAAATGGCATTTATTTAACTGGGTGCTCCTGTTATGGTTTTAGGACTGGGGTGGAGTTTGTTTTCTTTCTGTTCTTTTTCTTCCTCTCTTTTGTTAATTGGAGTCGTTGGTCTGTGTTCAATCTATCGATGGAGCCTTTCCTGCTGAGCCGTCCTCCATATAACTTTCCACAATGAAGCAATTAAGCAGCAGGTATATCAAGGTTGTGTGGCTTTAAGACTCTTTAGACTGCTCATATCATTATAGTAACTTTTAGGTTTGTTTTGTTTGAAATTGCTTTTGGAAAAACTATTAAGCTAACTTGTTGCCTCTACTCACCTCGCAGACTCTTGCCAGAGAATCCTGGGCAAGCTCAGCTGACCACACAGCTCTCTTGCTTCTGCGATCCTCTCTGGCCTCAAAATCTCAGTAAGAAGTCTCTCAGCCCCCAAACTGCCTGCTTCTATCCACCTGAAAATCTTAGAACTATGTCTGCCAACCCAGTGCTCCTTCCCCACTCAGCCTCCACAGTGCAAAAACGTCAGATCACTCAACTCCAGTTCCAATTACGCTTATCTCACCTTCTGGAATAGACAATAACCTATCCTCTTCCCTAACACCCATGTGAACTTGCCTGAACTGAAGTTTCTTTCTCACCTTCACCCTCAATCATTCTATAAATGTCTCCATAAGTACTGTCGCTCGAGTCTGCTCTTTCGGTCCGGTCAGAGTCACATGATGACAGCTCATTTTCCATCCAAAGGCATGTTATGTTAACTGGTGATTCTAAATTGGCAGCAGATGAGAGATGGAGCGATGAATGACATGCCGAAAACAGCCCTGAGCTATTCAAGGTTCAAGATGTTTATATAGAGTAGATAACATTTGATTGTGTTTTTATATGTTTGCTTGGATCCATAAAAAGACTTACACTTTGGAAATGAAACTCTTCCTTCTTTCTCTCTTAAAGCTCCTAGCCCATGTCCTTGTTATTGATGATGGTGGTGGTTGTGGTGTTGTTGTTAACCAGAGTTTCACATCATTAGCCATTAGTCATTTTCATAGAAAGTCTCACATGACCAAAGCATAGAGAAATCAAACACACATCAAAATAGAGAGCTTCTTTATTAAATGTAACAATTTTTCATAAACGAATTAGAAATTATAAAATATTTTCTTCCGGTGAGTTACATAATTTGCATTAATTTAATGCAGGCCGTTGGTAAATTGAACAGCTGCAAAACAGCAATTGACTATTCGCTAATCTAGGCACTGCTGATCAGTCAAGCTCTTGATTATTTGACGGATTCAGGTGACGTTTCGATAAACTTCATTCTCTACAGTTAAAGAGTTTAACGGATGATGTAAGTAACAAAAAAACCTGCAACTGTCACATATTTCACAACTGTAATCCAGGATGCTACAAGATCCAACTTTAGGGTAAATCTTAGCAGCTCTGTGAGCTTTTAACTAGATTTAAGGATGTCTCCTGTAGTCAGTACGTTATGACATAGCACTGCACTCCTATCAACATGCTGAATAAAATATGAGCAATAGGATGTTTGCATGTTATTTACCGAGTCAACCATGACACACCACCCTTCCCTATCATACTTACAAGATTAGTTATACTGTAGCTCAGTGGTGCAATACAACAACAAAGTGTCTGCATTATTTGCATGATTTATTTTTTTTTTATATTTAAGTTTAGCTTTCTATTAAAATTTGGTTAAAATACTTTGGTTAGAGCTAGGAGCATGTAGCTTAATTACATGAGTAATCAGGTCACAATTTTTCTCCACTATGTCTGAAATTAAAGGCGTTTTGTTTGGTGGTTAATCTGCAAGCACTTAATTATCAGCTGCACATGTGCTGTGGAAAGAACGAGCAGCAAAGGGTCAATTGCACACAGATTTAAGGTCTCTGTAAGGAATACTAAACCAGCGTTATTTACTGTAAACAATCATATGGAGATGTAATTTTTTTTATCATTCTTGAAAGGTAAAATAAAGATTGCTCCTGAAAATGAGACCTTGTGTCTCAATGAGATTTACCTGTATAGATAAAGATGAAATATAATTTTTCATCCTTTAGATGTGATGTTTTTTATATGCCGAGTGAGGCTTATCAGAAATTCAATAAGAGTTACTGATATGAGCTTCAAAACCTTCCATATGCCTCTCGGTGGAGCTGAAACTTGCTGAAGCACCTTTCCCGTGGCGACTGAGCTGCTCGTCGGGCTCTTTAATGTGCAGCTCACATAGTGAGAATGGACTTCTTCTTTCAGCCTTCCTCTCCTCTCTCAACATTTTGCCCTTTGTACCTGCGTGTGAATCTTTCCCCACCTCGTCGGGATGTTTGTTTTCCACCTGAAATAGATGAGAATACAATGTTTTTCATTTTAATGTCTTGAATGGCCGACATAAGCAATTACAGGCTTTGCAATTTTCTGCACTTTTTAGTTGTCAGTTTCAATTTAGACTTTCCCCCCTTGAGCCCAATTTCATCCCACTGTGAAGCTGCTTGATACTTCACTTGGGTTTTGTTCCTGCATTAATATTCATTGTGTGATTAATTCTAACTGACAGAGATCTCCCTGTACTGAATGTTGATTCCTGGTCAGATGCTCCGGTATATTGTCTGTAGTTCTACAAAAATAAATAATTTATATTGAATCACCTGAGCTAATTTACATGCCAAAATATGACACATTTGGAAATGTTTGAACATTGTATTATTGGTGTTTGAGCTGATGTATTATTACAATTTCCTGTTTTGTCAACAAATATGTCTCTCAAAAAGAAGATTGTACACTATTGAGGGATGAGAGTGCACCTATTGTCCCTTCATATTCTGCTATTTATAATTACCGGTGTCATGCCGTGTGCACAGTTTCAAAACATGAGGTCGGTGGATTTAGGCAAAAACGTCCTACTGTTCTAAACTGTCTGTTTCAGACTTGTCACAGCTCAGGCGATGGATATGTAAGCCCCACCCATATTGCTCCATAAACCTTTCGTTTGCAAATTTTAGAGAGACTGGCTTTAAAGAATAACAAGAACAGCTTGTTTCAAATGGAGAATGAACTGATCCCTACTTTAAAATAAGTCAACATCACTCAAAGAAACCTAGTATCATATCTACTATAATGAAGTCTGATGTCATGCTATAATGATATATGTATCTTTGTACGTTCCCTATTTGCTCCTAGACAAGTGGACTAATCTTGATAAACAGGAACATTGCTCAGGGCATGTGAGTGATAATATCAATATCATATACAAATATTTTATGCAAATTCAAACAATTTATATAAAAACAGAGGTTTGACCGTTTCCGTGTCTGCAGCTTTAAGATATGTGCTAACTCAATGCCACAATCTTCACAGGAGCGGATATCTCAGCAAATCCCTCCCAAGGTTCAACGCTCAAAGAAACTGCTAAAAACCCAAGAGCTACATCTCAGACTCCTGCAGGCCACTGTCATCATGTTCGGTTTTCAAGTTCATGAAGGTACAAGAAGATTGAAGATCGTATCAACTGACAAGGATGGTAGGTCATGCATCAAGGTGTTGCAATACTTCTACCCGAATGAAATGCAGTGGCGGGACCTTAAGAGACCTGTGCATAAATGAATCCCAGCAAATTGCATAAAGACCTTTGAAGGTCTACTGTATATGCACATCACTTGTGCTTCTGCTAACATTTTTGTGGTGACAGAACTATTTAAAAATCTATTGATTGCCATCTTCAAGTGAATCTCCAACATTTGGAAATCCTCTGATTGACTGAGAAGCTGCATGAAAAAATCAATAAAAAGTTATTTTTTGCTCTGTATTTGGTGCAGAGCCTCAGTCACGCTGTGCATAGAGGCTGGATGCAGGGGGAAATAGTCAGCCAGTATCTATACCATCAAAGGTGATTCTCAGTTGGAAGTTTTCATAAATACATGTTGTAACTTGTGTTTTTGGAAATATGCAAAAAAAAAAAAAACCCTTGAATAATAAGACAGCAATTTCAAAGCAGTTTTTGTGTTAAAGGTGATTTTGATCAAAAGAACTGCCTTTACTCAGTGCTGTATCTCTGGTTTACAAAAACAAGAATCTAAATGAGACAAATTTGGAGCTGTTGAAAGATTTACCTCTTCCCTATTGACTAGCTACCACCCACTGCTTCTTCTCTCCAGTGCAGTCTGACTAGTTCTTTTTTCTGCTAAAAGGACAGACATTAAATCAATGTCTATTTTCTTACCCTTTCTTTAAAAAAAAAAAAAAAATAGCAACACTTTCTATAAAGTTCACTCCTGGGTAGCTGACGTATTATGATGTGTGATCACATAAATCCATACCTATGGAGAAATATCTATCAAAAAAAAATTTTTTCAGAGTACCTGTAAAAATCAATGTTTGTTTTATATGACATATAAAGTAATTGTTTCCATGCTTATCAGAGATATTGTTTGCTTGATTAATCTTTAAGTTTATTAAAACATTTCTTTTCTATATGGGCACATATTATATGCATACTGAAAAACCAACATCATTATCCTCAATAAACACAATCTAAAAAGATTTGTAGCTTTGTAAGTTTTGTGTCTGAATTTTCAGGAAAGAGACTGTTTGGTGTCAGAGATGTAAAATTCACTGAAAGTCAGTCTAATTGTTCAATACTGAGTGTTGAATTTTATGTTGTCTCATTACAGGAAAAACATCATTTTTTCATCATTTTTCATGCAGGATCATTACACTGTCAAACATGATGAACAACAGAAAAATGCCAGGACTACCAACCATGCATTCAAAAATTCTGCTTCATATCCGAAAATATGTGTAAGTTTTCCTTTTTATCGACAACATTCACACGTATTTATATATTCCTTAACAAGCGTAAGCATCACTGCTTTAACATAACATAGCAATTAACCCTGTGCTACAGGAATTTAAATGATGTGATTTGGGGCATTTTTAAACTTTTGATATTTTAAATATTTCATGGTTTCATGAAAATTTGAAATACAGATCGATTTAAAATGTATAAACAGCCTATCTGATATTAATAATGTTTTAGAGGTCAGAGAAAGTGTGGTTTTTTGGGGTTTTTTTAGCTTTTACCACATTTGTTTTTGCATTTGAATTTATTTATTTAAAAGGGACAGTGCAGTTTAACATAGTTTGGCCTTACAGTCTGTCTTACCTTAAGTTACAGCTGCCTTCACTGCTATAGTATATACCAGAAACACCTCCGTAACTAACATCTATAATATCCCTATTAATTCATGGCAAACTAGTGCATTTAAAGTGGTAGTAGTAGACTTTGTGTGGGATCCGCACATGTGTTTCCCTAGACTCTCTGAAACGGCAACTCAGGAGTCTTTATAGTTCCCCACCTCCCACGCACTCTTTTCTTTCAATCTCAGCTACTTTGCATTTAGCTTGAAGTCAGTTTGTGAGGATTTTAGGTTCTCTGACCATGTGTTTTTGAGTTTTGGTGGTTTGGATTTATTTTTGAGTTTGTGAAAATAATTGATATTCTAGTTTTGGTGGTGTTTAGTCTTTTGAGTTTAATGTTATTTTCTTATTGCTTCTAAGTTTTGTTTGTTGTGGGTTTATTTTTTTATATACCTTGGTTCTTCATCCTCTCCTGTGTCTCATCTCTGTGCAGTCAGCCTTTGTCTCTGTGTTTGTTTACCTTTGGTTTATGTCTACTTATAGGTTCAAATCAAGTTCGTAGTCTGTAGTCTTTTTGTTTATACTCTGGTTCTTCTTCTTGGCCTTGTAATATTTAGTTGGCGTCGTTAGTGATCCTATTGTTACCTCAGTCTTGTCATAATGTCTATCTGTTCTCTCTGTTCTGTATCCGTGTTTATTTTCTGCCCATGTAAATGTGGCGTGTCTTAGTTGAAGCTTCAGTATTATTTATACTTTGTGCTAGTCTCTCTTGTCTCGTGTGCATTGTGTTAAATTTACTTCCCTAGTCTACTTATTTCTGATTTGCTCCCACTGTCTTTCCCACCCATTATGCTGTCTTAGCCTAGTCGTGTCATACTGTTCGCCCAATCTTTGTTCCCGGTATTAATTTTCCTTTATATCTGTGTTCTCACTTTCACAGATTGATATAGACCTTCAATAAATGATTGTTTTAAGTTTCAAGCCTGCCTTTGACTCTGCATTGGTGTGCTTGCTCTTTCTTAGCCCGACACAGTTAGCTCAATGGCTGGATTCTAATTTATTTATTTTTAGATTATTTAGTTACATCGTGGGTGCATGCAGGAGCAAATGTAATATACTCGCCATGTAACAAGCGCATGCAACACTTTATTCTATAGAGTCCAAGAGGGCTAACTTAGAATCACCAATTTATCTAACATGCATGCCTTTATACTGTGGGAGGAAGACAGAAACCCAAGCAGGCACAGGCAAATGTTGCACATAAAGACCATTGCTGGGAACTGTCTTGCTGTGACTTGACACTGCTGACCTCTCCATCACTGTGCTGCTCGATTTCAGATCTCACATCTGTGGGAAGGTACTCTCAGACATCTGTATAATTCATTTCATGAAGTGCACTACTGTATCTATCATCACTCAGAGTTTTTGGCTTTTACTATTTCACTGTTTTGTGAGCCTTCAAAGACCCAGCAGGTTCCTGTCTGTGTGGCAACTAGAGCTGGGCGATAGAACGATAACGATATGTATCGCGATATAACTTTTACTCGATAGAGAAATTAAGCTATCGCGATAGACCTCGCCGCTCTTGTCCTCAAAAAAAAAAAAAAAAAAAAAAGGTCAGCCAATCCAAATTAAGTAGCGCAGAGCCGCAGCGTCACGGCCGCAGTGTCACGTTGCGTGACTTGTTACGTACAGCACAAGTGCCAAGCCGCACGTGTGTTTGTTTGGGAAGCAGCCAGCGGGTAATGGAGGAAATGAGTGTGCCGACTAGAAAAATCAACCGAGCGTGACCGAAGAGAAAACAGATGATGGTTCCAATGCCGGAGAGATTGTCAAATGGAAGAGCCATAGAAGTTCCGTAGTGTGAAGGTATTTCGGCTATTTCAAGTCTGACAAAAATAGAGTAGCGTGCACTGTAAATGTGCCGAAAGCAAGTCTGGAAATACAATAAACTGGTGCATGCGTCACACTGTGCGCCACGTTATTGTTTCGGTGAAATGAATTTCTACAATACTGTTACTGTTAATTCTACTCTCTGCAGTGTTTAAATGCTTACATATACACACAGTTACTGTCCCTCCACACTTACGACTCGGTTCTGCTTCTATGCCCCAGCTTTGTTTACTTTTTCCCACCGAGGCTTCTAGACTTCTGATTGGCCAACATTTAGGCACGGTTAGGAATCTAGCGCCACCTGCTGCT